AAAGGTTGGACCCTTTTTTGGTTAGGTGCATGAAAAATATACTTTCACCTTCATATAACTCAAAAACGGCTGAAGCAATTTACTTCAAACTTTCAAACAAGTTCACCTTTGGTTTATGTTAAGGTTTGAAAATTTCATCCAAAATGGAACCATGCCCAAAGAAAATGATGCCCTGAAGAAAAAAAAAAAAAAAGAAAGGAATAATAAAATTGATGCGGATTTTTCAGGTCAGTCTGGGCTTTGAGACTCTAACTCAAAAAAAAAAAAAAAAAAAACAAGAGACGAGCATGGATAGCCTTGTGCTTCAATGTCATTAATATCAGCACCTGATTGAAAAAATGATAAAGAGGCTGGGCACGGTGGTTCAAGCCTGTAATACCAGCACTTTGGGAGGCAGAGTCGAGAGGATTACTTGAGCTCAGGAATTCAAGACCAGCCTGAGCAACATGGTGAGTCCTCATCTCTACAATAAATCAAAAAATTAACTGGGCATGGTGGCACATGCCTATGGTTTCAGTTGCTTGGAAGGCTGAGGCTGAAGGATTACCTGAGCCCAGCAGTTCGAACCTGCAGTGACCGTGAGCTTGCCACTGTACTCCAACCTGGGCAACAGAGTGAGACTTGGACTCAAAAAATAAAAATAAAGCGTGCTTTGACTGGGTGCGGTGGCTCAGCCTATAATCCTAGCACTTTGTGAGATTGAGGCTAGAAGTTTGCCTGCGTCTGAGGGTTCGAGATCAGCCTGGGCAACTTGGGGAGACCTCGTCTCTACAATAATAAAAAAATAAGCCAGGTATGATAGCATGTGTCTATAGTTTCAGCTACTTGGAAGGCTGAAGTGGAAGGATTGCTTGAGCCCAGCAGGTCAAGGCTGTGGTGGCCACCAGTGTGCCACTGCACTGCAGTTGACAGTGAGACTCCAACTCAAAAAACAAACAAACAAAAAAAAAAAACGTGCTTTGCTGTAGCTTAGTGGGAGGTGTACTGTTCCTTGCGTTTTCCCATGCCATCTCCAGGCCTGGAATGGTGGGGGCGGGTCTGGCCACACTGCAGCTTCCTGGGGCCTCCCCCTTCCTCTCCTGCCCCCACCGCCCCAGTGAGGATGAGGCGAGGCACCCCTCACAGTGACGATATCCATGAATAACCCCATGGTTCCAGACTGCGCCGAGTTCCCAGGCGTCAGAGGAGGATGACTTTGGGCGAGGACCATGGCTGGCTATGAAGTCTGCGCTGGGCCTGGATGAGAGGGACCCTGGCTGTTTCTTGGGCACCTGCAGCATCGTCATGGTGCTGCGTAAGGTGAGCGCTGGGCGCCAAGACCCACAGGGAAGACCAAGTCCTCCCTTCCACTGGTGCACGCCCTCCTCTGCCCTTGGAAGGGGCTGGCTGCCTCCACTCCCTGCCTGCTGTGCACAGCAGCACAGAGTACCTTGGCTGGATTGTCCAGCTAGCAGCCTTTCTCGTGTCATCCTCAGCACTGGAACTGGAGCAAGAGGAGGATGGTCATGGGCTTGTCTCTGTGTGGGGGGAGTAAGTACTCTCCCTCCCTCAGAGCTCCCCTGTGGTCAGGGCATGTGCATATACATGCTAGTACCTGTGCCAACATATCCCTGCCCATGGCCTGCCATGATGGAATGCTGTATAAACACACACACACGTGGCTGAGTGCGGTGGCTCACGCCTGTAATCCCAGCACTTTGGAAGGCCGAGGTGGGCGGATCACTCAAGGCCAGGAATTCTAGATCACCCTGGACAACATAGCAAGACTTTGTCTCTACAAAAAATTTTAAAAATTAGCTGGGTGTGGTGGTATGAACCTATAGTCCTAGCTACTCAGGAGGCTGAGGTGGGAAGATTGTTTGAGCCCAGGAGGTCAAGGCTGCAGTAAGTTATGATGATTCCACTGCACTGCAGCCTGGGCGATAGAGTGAGACCCTGATTCAAAAGAAAGAAAGAAAGAAAGAAAATGCATACAAAGGCAGGGGAGAGCTATGCTGTGCCCTTCAAACTGCCCCTTTGTCATCCACAAGGAACACCATCGCCTCCCTTGTGCTCTGCCCCCAACCCCCGGCTGCCCTGGCACACCTGGGGACCTGGGACGGGACAGGCGGGCCGTGGCCACCTCAGCGAGTGCCTGTCCTCATAAGCAGGCAGCCCTGAGGCAGCTTCCCGGGAACAAAGTCCCCAGAATGGCAGTGATGATCAAGTCCTTGACTCGGAGTGCTATGGACGCCAGCGTGGTTTTCAAGGACCCTACAGGTAAGGAGCCGGGTCCCGGGTGCCTGAGGAGTGGCCTCCGCTGAGGCTGGGAGAGGAGGAGAAATCCCACCTCCGCTGCAGAATGGGCAATGGAGGTAGTGAGCAGCCACTTCCCCCAGGGCCGGCCCATATGCCTGGCCTGAGACCCACAGCCTTGCTTGTCTGCAGGAGAGATGCAGGGGACGGTGCACAGGCTGCTGCTGGAGACACGCCAGAACGAACTGCGGCCTGGCTCCGTGCTGTTGCTGAAGCAGGTAGGCTGCCCCTGTCCCCGGGAGTCTCTCCCCAGCGCTGGGCAGGGGCTGCATGGTACCAGGGTGAACGCAACGGAGCTTGTGTTGGGGAGGGAAAGGGAAGGAGCCCTGGCGCCATGACTGAGTGGGAGCATTGTGTGACCCTGGGACAGAGGACACCAGCGAGAGCCTGGTGGGCACCAGGTGGCCATTTGGTGGCCCCCGTGCCCCACTAGGATGCAGACCTTCCCCTTCGTTGTCTGCAGATTGGGGTGTTCTCTCCTTCAACCCGAAATCACTACCTTAACGTGACCCCCACCAACCTGGTCCACGTTTACAGCCCAGACTCTGGGGCCAGCAGCACCCTCCTGCCCTCTCAACCTGAGGTAAGAGGAGTGGGTGGATGGAAGTTGGGCCCTCCTGCCTAGATCTTCTGGTTCCTTCTTGCCACCTGGGAGCAGAGGTCTGAAAGGGGCGGTTACCCTGAGGTGAAGAGGTGGCTTTGGGAGCAGCGCCTGCCAGACGGCTCAGTAACAGTAGAGGAGCAGCTGGCTCCTTGGTGATGCCCAAGTGTCCGGTGGCAGGCCTGACCATCTGAGAGAACAAGCGTCACCAGAGAACTTGCCCGGAGGAGGCCCATAGGGGGTGGTGGCACAAGTGGTGATAGCTCTGCGGGTGACTACGTAGAGGACAGGAGCTACAGATGACGGACCAGCCAGCACTGGCTCTGGTCTTCCCTTCTGGCCTGTGCCTCTGCCTGGCAGGGACCGCATGGAACCTGGTGGGGACATCCCCGTGGGAACTAAGGCGAGGCCCAGGAGCCTGGGCTTGCCATGGACCCTGCCCTTCTTGGGGTCCTGGTCTGCAGGTCAGGAGGCCTGCATCTTGCCCCCTCTCAGCTGATGACTTGTACTGTGACCTGGCAATTCCTGTTATCTGTCCTGCTGTACCTGCATCTAGAGAACCAGAGGGGGACTTAGTGACCTCTCCCCCTAGACCTTCAGCTTCATCGTCTGCCTTCCTGTCTCTCAGAATCACGCCCTTCTAAAAATAAGCTTCCTTTTTCTTTTAAATTTCAGGTTCTCTGTGCTCATTGAAATAAACTGAAATAGCATAGAATAAGCAAAAAGGGAACTCACCTTGTGAGCTCCTTTCTCCTAGAGCTAACCATGGTGATGGTATAATTACCCATTGTAATTACTGCTGAACATTAACCAGTTTGGGTTTTTTTTTTGTTTTTTTGTGTTTTTTCGAGTCAGTCTCACTCTGTCACCCAGACTGGAGTGCAGTGGCCTCTCCCAGCCACTGCAGCCTCGACCTGCTGGGCTCTGGTGATCCTTCCGCCTCAGCCTTCCAAGTAGCTGGAACTACAGGCGTACGCTACCACACCCAATTAATTTTTTGATTTATTGTAGAGATGAGGTCTCACCAAGTTGCCCAGGCGGGTCTCAAACCCGCGGGCTCAGGCAATCCACTCACCTCAGCCTCCCAAGGCATGGGATTACAGGCTGAGCCACCGAGCCCGGCTTCCAGTTTGGGTTTGTGAGGACAGCTCATTTATTTATTTTTATCGTATTCTATTTATTTATTTTTGAGTCGGAGTCTCATTCTGTCGCTCAGGCTCTGGAGTACAGTGGTGCGCTGCTCACAGCCATCACAGCTTCCACCTGTTGGGCTCAGGCAATCCTTCCACCTCAGCCTTCCAAGTAGCTGGAACTACAGGCATGCGGCACCCCATCTGGCTAATTTTTTGATGTTTTGTAGAGACAAGGTCTCCCTATGTTGCCCAGGCTGGTCTCTAACCCCTGGACTCAGGCAATCCTCTCGCCTCTCCCTCCTAAAGTGTTGGGATTTACAGGCTTGAGCCACCACACCTGGCTGATACTCTTTTTTAAAACATTTGTTGTAGATATGAGGTCTCATCAGGTTGCTCAGGCTGGTCTTGAACCCCTAGGCTCAGACAATCCTCTCGTCTCAGCCTCCCAAAGTGCTGGGATTATAGGCTGAGCCACCGAGCCCAGCCAAACAGCTCATTTTTAATCTGGCTTACTCCTCAGTGTATCTGCGTGTGGCCTGTTCACTCTTTGTTCCAGCTACATGGGTTCTATAATACCAACAGAATTAGGAGAGAAAAGAAGCCCAAGATGCTTGGGTCTGTTTCTTTTTAATTGTTTGGTACTCTGAGTGCTTGGCACATCAGCAACTCCCTCAGCTTGGGCCTGGGTGGTGGACTGGCCTGCCACACTCTCATGTCCCTTTCCTGCATCCCCACCTGTCCCTTTGGGGTTGTCTGGGTGAGGGTACCTTCCGGAGGGATTTCAGGGGCACAGGCGTTGGTAACCAGATCCCTGTCCCCAGGATTCAGGAAGCCTCCGGCAGGGGGCGGCCAAACAGCCCAGGGAAGGCCCCAGAGCAGGACGCAGCCCAAAGGCAGGGGTGGTCCCGGAGGAAGAACTCCCTGAGGCAGGTAAGGCAGTCGCCGGGAGACGGAAGCTCCCCTGTTCTCTCGTGAGCAGCTCAGCAAAGTCCTCCTGGCTGGGTCATCTTTGCCGGTCTGGAAACCTTTGGATCTTATGGAATCTTGGAGAAATGGATACAGTATCTTGCCTGGCAGGGCTGCGGGCCATAAATAGTTAACAGTGCCATGGGGTTTCATAGGACACACAGAGTGTTGTCCACAGGTCTCCCCCATTTGCAGATCATGTGCCCTTAGCCACAAGGAGGGAATACTGCCATCCTGTCTGGGTGGACAGGCACCATCTTTGTGCCACACTTGGGGCCCTCTGTGGGCTGGTGACCAGACCAGGGGCAGAGTTCCCCATCCTGAGCCCAGAGCAGTGCCGAGGAGTTGAGCGTCCGTGGGGCTTAGTGAGGACCAGGTCACTCACCTGGAAGGCCCAAATACAGTCTCGCAGCAGGCCAGGTCCTCAGGCAGCATCACCCGGGTGAAGCTAACATGGCCCAGGGGCTGGTCCTGAGCTTATGATTCCAGAAATGCACTCTTGCCTGCCCCGAAGTTCCCAGACTTACGGGTCGGTGTCTCACACCAACCAGATTCACAGTATTCCTGTGGATGAACCACAAAGCCTGCATACTTCTGTCCTGTGGAAGAGCCTCAGCTCTGTCGCTGATGTCCTGCCATGTCTGGAAGCCTGTTCTTGCTCCCTGTTGGTGAGCCCGACGAGGCTGCTGGTGGCTGTGGAGCTGCCTGTCGGCTCTCGGGGCCGGTGTTGCAATACCCATGCAGGGGTGGCTGAACAAGGCTGGAGATGACACGGATCCCTCTCTGGTTCGCAGTTTCTGGGCCCTCTGCGGCCACCACCCTCCCTTGGTTTCCAGGTGTGTTGCTCTAAACAGCCACAGTGCAGCTCGTGCAGGGCAGCTCATTTTGTTATAAGCAGATTCCAGCCAGGCATGGTGACTCACACCTGGAATCCCATCACTTTGGGAGGCTGAGGTGAGAGGATGGCCTGAGCTCACGAGTTCAAGACCAGCCTGGGCAACTTGGTGAGACCTCCCTCTCCACATTAAATCAAAAAATTAGCTGGGCATGGTGGCACGTGCCTATAGTTCCGGCTGCTTGGAAGGCTGAGGCTGATCCTTCACCTGAGCCCAGCAGGTCAAGGCTGCAGTAGCTGTGAGCATGCCACTGCCCTCTAGCCTGGGTGACAAAGTGAGGCTCCAACTCAAAAAAACAACAGCAACAAAAAGCACTGTCACCGCATACATCTTGGGTGCTCCCCAGGCCAACCTCTCCTTTCCTGCCGCAGTGCTTCTGAGTGTGCTGGCCAGGCTCAGAGCAAGGGCTGGGGATAGTGCACAGTCTGGCCCGTGTGGGAGCTCCTGAGCCCAGTCGGGGTAGGCAGGATGTGTGCGTTGGCTGGCCGGCATGTGGCTGGAGTCCCAGGGAACCTGAACATACTCTCCTCAGGCAGGTTCTTTGGCCTCTGTAAACCCTTTCCTCCCTGGCCAGTGAGGTTGGTGATAGGAACCGCTGGGAGCCCTCTGCAGGGGGTGGCCCTGCCCTGGGTGCTCAGCCCTAGCTGCTGTTGGTAACAAACACGATATCAGCAGGTCTGAAGTCAGCCTGTGTCCCTGTGCACAGGCCCCTTGGGAGGAGTGGTGTCCCCACTGTTGGGTGAGAAGCCCCAGGGTGACCATGCCACCGCATGGCCTTTCCCAGTCTTCCTCCCTCCATCCAATGAGAGGGCTGCCCTGGGGCACCTCCAGGGCTCTCCCCTGGGCCCTGCACTCTGGATGGAAGCAGGGGGACATTGGGGCCCAGGGGGATCCTCTGAGAGTGGGGAAGGGGAGCCACCCCTCCCTGCAGCCAGGCCCAAGCCCTCCCAAGGAGCCCTGGTGTGGTCACAAGACTGTTCCTCTGCCTCTCTGCAGACGACCTGGACGGCCTCCTGAGCGAGCTCCCTGAGGACTTCTTCCATGGGGCCAGCGGGCACCCTCCCTGACAGGTGGCTCAGGTGGATCTGGGCAGTCACAGGGAGAGGAAGGCAGACCCAGGGAACTTAGCCTGGTGGGGGCCCCACCCCGATGCTTCCCTGAGCGCCCCTTGGCTGATTCTGCACCGCCCTCCCTTTGGCCACCAGACTCCTGCCTCCAGGCCCTCTTTGCTGCCACCGGAAAGGCATGTCACCCTCCCCTGGGGATGTAGGGCCTGACTTCCTGGCCCTCCACTCCCTGTCCCAACAGCTGAGGAGCCACACTCAGCCAGGGGTGTGGCTGTTGTACCTTGTTCTGAATAAAGCAGCCCCCACATCACCCACCTCTCTTTCCATGCCCACCGCCTCCCACCTTGGCCTCCCACTGTGCTGGGATCACAGGCCTGAATCCCCGTACCCCCCTCCCCCGTCTGTGCTTTATTCAGATTCGCTCAGGCCCCCAGTCCCCTTTCCGAATCCAACGCCCCTGCAATCGTGTCTCCTTGTTGACCGGTGGAGGAGGACTGGTCAGCTTGTTGCAGGGCGCCCCGAGAGTCTGCTGGTTTCTCATGACTAAATGGGGCTATGGGCTGAGGGAAGATCCTTCTCATGGCATCTCAGGGGCTCCTACTGGCCTGGAGCACCTGGCTGAGGGCAGGGTGGTTGGGCTTCTCCCTGGAAGGTCGCCCTTTCTGCACCGTCCTCAGGAGGAGGCATTCTGCAGCCCACGGGCAGGCCATGACATTCCACCTCCTTCAGACCAGGAGGGCAACCCTGTTTTTTTGGAATTCTGCATGGGATTGTGGTCCAGTCTCCCTCGTTATTCACTCATATGTCTCAGGACACCCACGGGTGTGACTGTCACCAAGTCCTCACTGTTGTCTGTGGATGCCCATGGGCGTGGGCTGTCATCTAGTCCTCACTGTCATCCATGGACATGCGCAGATGTGGGCTGTCACCCATCACTATCTTGTTGCCATGTGACTCTTCGATGCATGGCTCCTCTGTCCCACCTTCAGGCCAAAGGTGTGCGGGCTTGGTGGGAGTGGGAGGTCTGATGGGACCGTGCACCTGCCTGGTTTTCCTTTCCAAGCAGGCGCGGGGAGGCTGGTTGAAGAGCCCAGCGTGATGCCAGCCTGGCCTCCTGGGGCCTCCACGACCAGACCTGGCACGGCCCTGAGGGGAGCGTTGACCTTTCCCAGAGCCGGGAGCCCGGGGTCGCAGTCTCCTGGCTGCAGTGAGCAGATGCTTGAGAGCCCAGGCTCGGTTGCCCACTGCAGTGGCTAGAAGGCTCCTGTGCTCCGAGGCCCAGGCAGGAGGGGGTTGATCCCTGGCGCCCTGGCCCTCTCTCTCCCCAGGTCTTCCCACCTGAGCCGTCACACCTCCCGGCCCCGCCCACTGACTCCCTGGCCCGGTTCACTGCTGGCCCCGCCCTCTCCCCAGCTCTGTCTCTATCTTCCATCTGGGCCAGAGCCCATCTATGCCGGGGTCTTCCTGCACCGAAAGCACCCGTAGCTGGGCACAGCTGTGTGTGCTGTAGTCTCAGCTAGTTGGGAGGCTGAAGCAGGAGGATTACTTGAGCCCAGGAGTTTGAGGCTGCGGTGAGCTATGATCGTGCCACTGCACTCCAGCCTGGGCGATGTAGTGAGACTTTGCCTCTAGAAAAATAAAAGATAGGGCAACCCCCCCTCAGGTCCCCTCCCACTGTGGGAGCTTTTCTGTCCTCTCAATAAATCCTGCTTTCTCAAAAACCAAAAGGATTTAAAAAATAAAAGGTAAAGCAGCCCACGCCCCTGCCTGCGGTGTTCATCCCCTTGTAGACGCTCTCAAGCCCCGGTCCCCCACCCCCATGCCCCTCCAAGTCCTGACCAGCTCTGGCTCCGTGTCCTGGCTGCTTCACCCCCGGGCTCGGGCCTGGAAGGTGGGCTGGACCTCTGATCACCGGGCCCTGTTCCCCTGCTGCTGCTGGGCTCCCTCTGCTCTTGGCGGGGGGCAACACTAAGGACAAAGGGCTTGAGCTGTCGTCAGAGCATCCACAGGGCTGTATGGGAAGAAGGCAGTGGGAGGCGGGGCTGGGCCGAGTGCCCCAGGGAGGAGGGGGACGCTCACCCCTCATGGCCTGGCCCAGTCTCACCGTACTCCCAGCCCTGGGAACCCAGCTGTGGGTGCCCAGCTAGGCCACTGGCAGTCAAAACCCAGGCCGGGCTCCAGCAGGTTAATCATGGTGCCCATACCGAGGCGCCTCTCTCTCAGGCCGCCCAGCCTCACTGTGAGTGATCTCATTCCTCCTCTGGGGTCCCCTGCCCTGGAAGGCCACCGAGGAGCTGGGCCAGGTGGTGAGTGGGTGAACAGCTGGGCAAGGGCAGAGCCAGAAAGAGCCCAGGCTGCTGCCACCCACTTGGGCGGTGGCCGAACTCTAGCCTGTCCTCCGCAGAGAAAGGGGACCTCCATTCAAGGCACCCAAAGAAGAGGCCCGCCATGAGCCATGTGCCCCCAGACACACTTGAGACCGACCATATGGGGGCCAGCCCTGAGCCCACACCAGTGCATGGAGCAGCGTTTCACAAGGTGCCCCTGAAATCCCGAGGCTGTGACACTCCCAGAGCAGGTGGCTGTGGGGCACAGTTGGAGGAAAGAGCGAAGAGACTAGTACTAGCTGAGGGAACCGCATGAGAGGGCCCTGCTGTGAGAATGTGAGACAGTACCAACTGGAGAGGGACACGGGGCCAGACCAAGGAACTGGGGGCCGGGGGCTGTGGCTCATGCCTGTAATCCCAGCACTTTGGGGGGCAGAGGCGAGAGGGTTGCCTGAGCTCAGGAGTTCAAGACCAGCCTGAGCAACATGGCAAGACCTCGTCTCTACAATAAATAAAAAATTTAGCCAGTTGTGATGGTGCACCTGAGCCCAGCAGGTTGAGGCTGCGATGGCTGTGAGCATGTCACTGTACTCCCGCCTGGGTGACAGAGTGAGACTCTAACTCAAAAAAATAAAAATGAGTGAGGTATGGTGGCGCATGCTTGTAGTCCCAGCTACTTGGGAGGCTGAAGTGGGAGGATCACTTGAACCTAGGAGTTGAAGGCTGCAGTGCGCTATGATTGCATCACTGCACTCCAGCCTGGGCCACAGAGCAAGACCCTGTCTTTAAACAAAAAAAGGAGTGGGGCTTAGTTGGAGCGAGCAGGTATTGTAGATCATTCTGGCAGCACAGCAGAGGGGGTGTGGTCAGAGGAAGGGGCGCCAGGTGGGAGGATGGGTTGATCTGCTTCATTTAGTTGAGTTGGAGTTTCACTCTGTCGCCCAAGCTGCGAGTGCAGTGGCACACTCACAGCCACCCCAGCATCGACCTGCTGGGCTCCAGCGATCCTTCCGCCTCAGCCTTTCAAACAGCTGGAACTACAGGCACGCACTACCATGCCCGGCTAGTTTTTGATTGATTGTAGAGATGAGATCTCGCCAAGTTGCCCGGGCTGGTCTTGAACCTGCAGGCTCAGGCAATCCACTGGCCTTGGCCTTGGCCTTCTGAAGTGCTAGGATTACAAACCGAGCCACCGAGCTTGACCGCCATCTGCTTTAAGGCTGAAGAGCCTGAACTGAGATGGAGCCTGAGCATGTGAGGCCAAGGCTAGACCTTGCGTGTGGAGGGGACCGGGGAGGAAGAGGCCAGCGACCACCACGCAGGGTCCACCAGGGGCCAGCAGCACTGAGGAGGCGCGCCTGGCAACACTGCGAGCCAGGGCCAGCCAAGCTGAGTGCTGCTCCCCCTCAGCCTGGCAGGCACTCCAGTGTGCGGTTCCACGGCCTCATTCCTCCCCCTAGAGGCTTCGAGAAGCAGAGCCGCTTTCTCCTAAGGGTGGCTGGGTTTGTAGCTTGAAGATATCTTTGGTCCAGCTCACCAGTTTTCAGGTAACCCTTTGGTCACCAGAGGAAAGCCATGTGAGCCCCTTTAGCAGATGGGTAAAAAAAAATTTAAAAAGAAAGAAAAATCAGGCTGGGCACGGTGGCTCACACCTATAATCCCAGCACTTTGGGAGGACAAGGTGAGAGGACTGCCTGAGCCCTCTGGTTCGAGATCAGCCCGGGCAACTTGGTGAGACCTCTTCTCTACAATAAATCAAAAAATTAGCCGGGTGTGGTAGCACGCGCCTATAGTTCCGGCTACTTGGAAGGCTGAGGCGAAAGGATCGCCGGAGCCCAGCAGGTCAACCCTGGGGTGGCTGTGAGCGTGCCACTGCATTCCAGCCTGGGCAACAGGGTGAGACTCCAACTCAAAAAACAAAACATACTGTCCACCTGTGGGCAGAGAGGTGCTACTATGACCCTGGATGATGCCCGGAAGAGCAGCCCACCTTCTCGGTAACTGTTTTCTCTCTCTCTCTCCCACCCCCTTTGTAGTCAAGATCTCACTCTGCTGCCCAGGCTGGAGTGTAGTGGCTGGATCATGGCTCATCGCAGGCTTGACCTCCTGGGCTCAGGTGAATCTTCTGCCTCAGCCTCTCAACATGCTGGGATTGCAGGCACAAGGCACTGTGCATGGCCTTAATAACTGTCTTTCTGGGCGCGTGGGCGCGGCGGCTCATGGGTTTGAGACCAGTCTGGGCAACTTGGTGAAACCTCATCTCTACAATAAATTAAAAAACTCGCTGGGCGTGGTGATGCACACCTGTAGCTCCAGCTACTCAGAAGGCTGTGGTGGAAGAACTGCCCGAGCCCAGCAGGTCAAAGCTGCGGTGGCTGTGAGCGTGCCACTGCCCTCCCGCCTGGGCGACAGAATGAGACTCCTACTCACAACAAAAGTGTCTTGAACTCCTTTTATTTCCCATGCTGAGGTCAGCCTCGTGCCTCCATGTGGGCCAACATCACAGAAGCTGAGGACCCTGGTTCTCCTTCCTGCCATCTCCATGCCAGCCCGAGATGCTCCCTCCAGAGAGGTGGAGGCCGATCAGCAGAGGGGATCCCAGGGTGAGGCCGGCCCAGCCCCTCCGGGCACCAGGCCGGTGACGCGGGTCAAACCGTTGGCGGCGCAAGACGGCCCATTTATAGCCTCAGCTGCTCGGGGGCTCCCGGAGAGGGGCAGGG